AGTGCAACGTCACCTACTCTGGGGGCAACCAAGCCAGGAAGGAAATCTAACATGATAATATTAGTTTGAAGCCTATACAGTCCCATTTTACAACTTCTCTCCTAATCACTACCTTGTGCAACTTCTACCTAGGAACCTCATAGATATGAGAACCCCCTATCACTTCAAATCATCACAATGATATACCTACAGCCACAAACCTTGTGACTAGACTTAAAACCCAAAAGAAGATTACACTTACAATAGATAATACTTAGTTTTGCTTAAAAGCTTCAACTAAGAACAATACTCAACTCTTTGCTTAAAAGCTCATGAGTGAGAATACTAGCTTGATAAATAAGAAACAAACAATCAACTCAATGCATCAAAGATACATGAATGACACACAAAGAACACAAACACTAAAAACCTAAAATACTCCCAAAACCCCAAACCCTTATGTTGCAGCCACAATTTGTTGTTGTGAATGCTTTCTATTTTAGGTCTAGAAAGTTCTTATTTATAGGCTCTTGCAGTATGGGCTTGAACTCTTCAAATAGATCCAATCTTCACGTTTAAAAACAACTGCAAGATCTTCTCATAAAATAGGAACAAATCTTTTTAAATCTTCCTAAAAAGGCTCCAAGATCCTCTTTAAGAAATCCAATTAAATCTGCACTTTGTTCCTAAATAATCTCCTTGACATGTGCATAATGATGAGGTATATCCAAAAGGATCTCATCAAATCAAATCCAATCTGCCGAGATATAAACAACAGTCGCGCCTGATGTACACAATCCAAGATATCATGACATATGTCTTCGATATCTTGCTGAAACACATACCAGTCAAACTGTTATGACAGTTGATGCAGATGTTACAACATCTTACTCAACATTAATATATAACCATGTTTTACCAAAATTTATCCATCGTAAAATCATGGAACTAACACCACCCTCTCTAATAGAAAGGCCATGGTAAAATCACCAAATGTAGGACCTCGATAGGGTTATAAATGAAATTTGAGAATCTTTGGAACTTATCACATAATTTAAATAACTCGACAATGTCTCTTTTCATCTCTATCCAATAGTACCTAAATTTCAAAATCTTGTTCGTGTGTGCTCTTCCCCTTATGTGGCTTCCACAAATGTTTTCATGTACTCACATTATTACTAAACCAGCTCCCCATCTTCCAAGAATCTCAACATAGGCATGGAACACCCCATCTTATTGAGCTTATCCTCTACCATGGAATATCTAGATGACAATCTCCTTATCCTCTATTCTTCTACTTTGTGTTTTGGTAGTTGTTCATTCATCAAGTATTTGATGATGGGCGATATCCAACTTTCGCTAACATCTAACACCATCATTTTATCTTCTAAACTCTCTTATATCAAAATTTTATTAAGACCTATTTTCTTCGTATTGAGGATCTTTGGCAACAAATCAACATGAGTATTTTCTTCTCGGGGAATGTGAACTATCTCAAAAGATTGGAAATATTTTGCCATCTCTAGAACCTTCTGTGAATATTTCGATAACAAAGGCTCTTTTGTTTGAAAATCTCCCATGATTTGGTTAGTGACCAACTAGGAGTCACTCCTTACCCAGAGGTTGGTGGCCCCTACTTCCTGGTCCAATTTCATTCCTAAAGCTAAAGCTTCATACTCTAGTTATTTGTTGTTGACCTTGTAGCCATTATATAGTAACTGCTCTAATAATACCTTGCAAGTGCTTGTTCAAGTTCAAATGTATGTTGTATTTTCTCACATACGACAAAGTATCTTTTAAGTCTCTGTCATTCATGCTTCCCTTTATACGGGGTTTTGAAGACCATGTCATCAATGCATACTTTCAAGTTCTAACATATTTGCTCGAAAAAGACAATTTCCATTAGTCTCTGGTACGCTGCCCCCCGTTTGTTGCAATTGGTCATAAATGTTATTTTTAGTGCATCAATAGGCTTCATCCTCATCTGATTATAACTTGAATATACATCCATGAAACTCACTACTCGAAACCACGAGGCTTCATCAATTGGCTTGCCAATACTTAATAGTGGATATAGATCTTTGGTACATGCTTTGTTGAGGTTGGTGAAATCTATGCAAATTCACCATTAGCCACATTTCTTCTTTACCATAATGATGTTGGCTTTCCAGACTGGGTATTTGATCTCTTGAATGAAGCTGACCCTTTTCCATTTCATCTCCTCCTCATATATGGTTGTTCTCTTATCTTCCACTTCCATGTGTTTCCTTTGAGAGACATGCTTGAATTCGAGCTTAAAGGCTAAATGATGACACATAATAACTGGAACTATTACATGCATATTAACTGGCACCATGTAAATAGATTAACATTCTTTTGAAGCATCTGCGTAATATTAGTTTCCTGCTCTTCATATAACATGATTCCTATCTGTGTATTTTGATGGCTTTTAGGGCTTATTTGGACGGTATTCAACTCCCTCACGGGTGTCATCCCATCTCCAAATGTAGTTGACTTTGGGTGAGTCAGAAAAACAAGATGACTCTGCGCTGCCTTCTTTCTCATCTTCAGACTGTCTATGTAGCACCTTCTTTAGAACTCCTGATCGCCCTTTTTTCTGGATGAGCTGGATTCTCGACCTATGGTGAAGCCTAAAAAATCATGTTCAAAAAGTGTGGTGTGTCTGGTCGGGCTCATGACTCTCCTCGATACTTCGAATCCTTCGAGGTCTGTGAGTTCTTTCTTTAGCTTCTATTCACGAAGAGGTTATTCTTTATGAATATCGAGCATTTCCCTGCATACACATATGCGAGCGATCTTTCTGAATTAGCTTTCAATCTCTAGTTTTAGGTGATGATAGTCGTCAATATGATGACCAAGTACCATGTGATCTTGCACCATTTAGGGGTGTGGGGTTCAAGAATGATTTTTACGTGGTAGACATCTCGAAGGATCCCCTCACTCCTTGTATTTAGTGGAGTGAAGCATTCTATGGGTTTCCATACGGGCTTGAAAGTAGCTTTCTCATAGAACAATATTATATTCTAATTTCTATGATGTTTGGATGCCTCTAGTTTACCGCCTCACTCTTTCGCCTTCCTGGTTCTTTTATCTACATTACTTTCATCTCCTTTGATGTAGCATTCAAGCGTGACCATGATCTCTTCCATTGAGGATGCTGACTTTTGCACTAGGGATTCTTTGAAGTGCCCCTACCTTGAGGCCATTCTAGAAAGTTCTTACAAACATTTCTTGATGTTGATGGGTGACCTTAATGGAATTTTTGTTGCAATAGTCCAAATATTCTCTTAACCACTCAGAATGGCCTTGGCGAACATTAAAAGGCTCGTGGTGGAGACCTTCCTATGTTTGATGGTCGAGAATTGTTAGACCATCTTCCTTTCCTGGTCCTGATAGTTGGTTATAGAGAACCTTAAGAGGCTCATATACCATTCGAGGGTTACTTATTTGAGGGAGTATGTTGCCCCGATAATTGCCATTAGTGTATTGTTAACAATGATGAGCTCATGAGAATCACTTTTTCCATCGAATATCGTTAGGGAGGGCGATTTGAATTTGTCAAGGCCCCGTGCTTCCTAGATCTGTGCCGCTAAAGGCTGTGGATTCACAAGGTCTTGCTGCTCGTCTCGTGTTGGATGTGATTGTTGTTGTAGATCACATACATTTTCTTGTAAAGTATCATTCTAACAACACATTTCCTCCACAATGGAGAGCATTTCTACTATGACGACTTGATCATTGTCGTTGTTGCTGGGGTCACCCTTACCATGATAGGACGATAAGAGGCTAATATTATATTTGGTTGTGTGGTTCGAACTAGTTTTACTGGACCTCACCGTGGGTATCAAATGTACATGATAGATACACTAATTAATAACTCTACTCGTGTTGAGCTGGTCAGAGTCACAAATGACTATTTCAGTATAAATCGTATCAAAAGTATCTATTCCTTTTCCTCTGTTAGTATCCCTTATATAGTCATAATGTCTTGTCCCATATTTAAGGATTATACAAATAATTTAATAGCCATTATTATCATTGCTCCTTTATCTGTTTTCACTCATTATGATCATTAATCCGCTTTAAATATATTGTCAGATTCTTTCCGTGTTGGTATTAGATTGATCGTATTGATTTGAACCGTTTATTGCCTTAACTAGATTTTATCTTTATTGACGAGTTAAAAATTAGAGATTTTAACTTGCCACTCCTACACTTATACTTGACACCCTCCATTTTATATGCTTTTACCATTAAACCCTTTTAAAAAAATATAAGTTTTACTGGAAATTTAGAGTGTACCGAAAATTTTGAAAAAATACTAGAATATTTTGAAATTTATGGAATTTTTAAAAAATTATCAAAAATTTCAGTATATTTGAAATTTCTGGTACAGTACAGAAAACTTTAATATTTTTCGAAATTTCTGGTATAATATAGAAATTTTCAGTATTTTTGAATTTTCCGTTAATATAAAACAATTTTTAAAAAAAAAAAAATTATATCAAAAATTTGAAATACCAAAAATTTCATATGAAGTATCCAAAATTTTGTTATTTCCTATTGAAAATTTCCTGAGTATCAAAAATTTCATTGCCTATATCAAATATTTCGTCAAGAAATTATTTCAATCTCATTAAAGATATTTCTGAAATAATAAAAATTAGGAGATACAAGATTCAATCGTGTATGATTTGAGTGAGAACCCGATCCAAAAAAACCATAACTGACGAAAACAGAATAAGGTGAAGTGTGAAAGTGGAACACAACGTGTGGGTTAAGTATTAGACATAAGTTAATAAGCAATACTATAATTACTATCTGTACGTCACATCATGTCGATGGAACTAGAAGTACCACAATCCAACAAAACAAAACACCTAAAACAGAATCATAAACACGAGCTTTGGGCGAAGATGCTTTTCATGCACTATTGTCCTTATTAAGCTTCTCTTATATAATAAGCCTCTCTCTCACGTGAAACCCAATAACACTCACAAATGGATGCAAACATGATCACACATAACATGAGCCTAACACCAACTTTAGCTCCTTGGAACCTAAGACTCAAACCAAAACCCACTTTTGTAGTTGGAGTTCTTGCACGTCCTACAGAAGAAACATCAAGCAAAACTCATGTATACAAAGATAATTGGTTTGATAAATTAGCCATAAACCATTTATCAAAAAGTGTTCAAGCCGCAACAGGTAATAATTCATTTTGAGTGGAATTTGTATTTTTTATTTTATTGCTGATGAATTGTGATGAGTTTTGAATCATGTGCAGGAATCAGTAATGATAAGAGTGGTTTTGATAGCCTTGTTGAGGCAGCTACTGTGGCTTCAAAGAAATTTAGTCCTATTCAACAGCAAGAAGTTGTTTTAGATGCACTTGACAGAGCCTTTCCAAAGCCAATACTTTCGGTGGTGAGTTCTTTTCAATTTTGTCTGATCTTCTTGTGCTTTCTCGTGTTTCATGACTTTTTCAAGTTTCAAACTATTAATGATTATTGTTGAAATTTAAGTAGGAATGATTAACTCCTAGACCTACAAGCAGAGGAAAAGTTAGATATATAAGAGAAATAACATATGTTCTCTTTGCTTAGGCTATACTTACATATCATAAAATAGCGTGAGCTTGAGCGAATGTAACAAAATGATGCAAAGTGAAATGAATTTTTCATTCTATTGTTTGAAAATTTAAGGATAGAACAATGCAAATTCTTCTTCCCGCTTAAATCGAAAGGGAAGAAATATAGTGGTAAGTGATGAAAATGAAATATAATGAATTCATATCATTCTATTCTGCTCAGTGCTATCCGATTTCAAATGATCAAAATAATAAAATATCACTGAATTCTATCTCATAACGTTGTATCCGATTTTAAATGATCTAAATAATAAAATACTATCTCTATCTCAAAATAATTGTCTTTCTAATCTCAAAAAGTTGTCTCAAAATAGTAGTTTCTTTATTTTTCTAATACAATTATAATTAACTTTTACCAATTTTATCTCTTGTATACACTCTTTTCAAATATGACAATATAATACAACTAATAATAATAAAAGATAATTTTATAAAAATGTTACTTTTATTGACTCAATCATTAATTTTTTTAATCTTCGTATAACAACCTTAAACGACTACTACCTCCGGTTCTATTTATAAAAAAAAATTTATTTTTTAAATATATTGAATAAATAATATATCTAGACAGTATATTGTCCAGATATATTATTTATTCAATATATCTAAAAAATAATTTTTTCCTTATAAATAATATAAGAGAAAGTATTATTTTGAGATGGAAAGAGTATTACTCAATTCCATCTCATACCGTTTGTTCCATCCTATTCCATCACTTGGAATATAAACTTTATATAGTGGAATATAAAAGAAAGTTTAATGATTAAAAAAGACATTTTTCGTCCCGTTCAAATCGAAAGAGAATAAATATAATGATAAATAACGGAATAGAACAAAATTCATACAACTCTATTCCAATTTTAAATAATATAAATAATAAAATATCAATCCATTTCATTCTGCTTTTCTCTGACTAATTCTATCAAT